ATCGCCGGATGGCTCGGGCTTGGGCTCGAACAGGTGCACCGAGTTCGAACGGGCGAAGACAACGCCATCGACGTCGCGGCTTTGGAAACAGCACTTCGCGGAGCCCTGGACGCCGGCACAAAGATCGCCACGATTATCGCCACGATGGGCTCCACGGACGCTTTCGGTCTGGACAATCTGAAAGCAATCGTTGAGTTGCGAGATCGGCTGGTCGAGGAATACCGGCTCGATTATCGCCCTCATGTTCATGCCGATGCCGTGATTGGCTGGGCCTGGTCGGTGTTTTTCGATTACGACTTCACTGCCAACGAGCTTGGATTTCGAGGACGCACGGTTCGCGCATTGGCCGCAGCACACCACGAGCTACAACATCTTCCGTTGGCCGACTCGATCGGGATCGACTTCCACAAAACAGGGTATACCCCCTACGTTTCGTCGCTGATTCTGTTTGGCGACAAGGCAGACCTCGCCCTAATGGAACGTCCTCGCTCGACGATGCCGTACCTGTTCCAATCAGGCGAACATCACCCGGGGATGTACTCGCTGGAAACCTCTCGAAGTGGCACCGGCCCCATGGCGGCGCTCGCCAATCTATCGCTGTTTGGCAAGCAAGGGCTTCGCGTACTGCTGGGCAATGCCGTGGGGGCGGCCGAAGCCTTACGCGAACAACTCGAAGCGCACCCGAGCCTCACGGTTCTCAATGGTGAAAACGTTGGCCCGGTCACCCTGTTTCGGGTTTATCCACCGGGGGTCGACACCTTCACGGTCAAACAGCGAGAACGACACAACCCCGAGCATCGCGAGCAACTGCTGGAGCACAATGCATTCAACCGCCGGGTGTTCAATCGCATCCACGACGATGCCATGGCAGGGCACGGGGTAGCACTCTCAATGACCGACTGCTACCGCACGACGGACTACGGGGAACCAATCTCGGCACTGAAATCTTACGTCCTGTCGCCATTTGCCGATGAAGCACAAATGACCGCGATCGTCGCCCACGTGCTCCAGGCGTTGGAAGCAGTGCATGCCGAAGGCGAGAAATCCTAACCTCGCTCTAGGTGACGGCGTTGCTGCTCTCAGAAGAAGTTGGGATGTCCAGCGAGGGTAGCGGAGCCTTGTCAGAGGTCGATTGTTTCTCCGCCATAGCTCGTACCCCTTCTTCCTCGCTTCTTCGCTTCTGAAGTTCTGCGATCATCGCATTGAATTCTTCAGAAACGTCGTGCCAGAAGTCACCTTCGCGGAAGTGAATGGGGGAAACCTCTTCACCACAGGCGCCCATGCGGAAGTGTTTTCGCAATCGCGTCAATGGTCCCACGAAGCGGTTGCTGAGTTTTAGCGTGTCCCACAGCAGGAATGGCAACAACAGGAACGACGCAATTACCGCCGGACCGAAGTGGAACCACATATCTTCGAAGTGGGTGTAAAAGATTCTTGCCGGCCCGGTAACGATCCTCCAGATCAGCACGAACGCGGCGATCGCGACCATGTAGGCGCACCAATACATCACGACACGTGCCAGCAAGGCAACTTGCACCTTAGAACCGTGATAGAGCTGTTTTCTCTGTTGATATTCAGCTTGCGGTTGCGGGTTCGTGCTCATGGAGTCTTCGAGTCAGTTTGGAGGCTGGATATCGCAACTTTTCGGGGGCGATCGGCCCGTAGCGTTCTAGACAAAAGTAGCTTAGCCAGGCCGGCAAAATCGGTATTCAGACCGACATATCGCTCACATCTGCGAAGAATCGGTTTTCCGCCTCGGAAGCCGTTCTGCTTATATCGAAAGCACGGACTAGACCGGCGATGAGACCCCGCTCGAAGAGAATCAGTCGCCAGCCGGCTCTGGATAAAGGGAACTTAAGCGATACTCGGGATGGAGCGCCAGATACTCCTTCACACGCTCAACCGCCTGGACGGCGACGGCGATGAATTCGATCGCTTTTTGCAACCGCTCATCGGGTTCGGCGCAGCTGAACCGCAAGAAGCCGGCCCCCGCTTCGCCAAACGATTCTCCTCCTAAACAGGCTACGCCCAGTTGTTCGTCGGCCCCCTCGAGCAGGAACATCGCCAATCCAGAAGAAGTGATTCCCAACCGATTGCAGATGGCGGCCACCGAGGCGAACACATAAAACGTTGCCGCCGGATCGAGGCAGTGAATCCCCTCGATCTTCTGCAGGCCCCGTGTCAGCAGCTGCACTTTCGCGCGGAACTTTTCCATCTGTTCGTCGCGTTCTTTCGCATCCAGTGTGAGCGCTGCAGCACCGGCCAGTTGCACCATCGGGGGAACGCAGGAAAGCGAGGTGTTCACCAGCTTGCCGAGCATCTCGATGTTTGGCTGCGATGAGACTGCAAAGCCCAACCGCCAGCCGCTCATGCTATATGACTTGCTCATGGTGTAAGCCGCGACGCATTGATCGAGCATGCCCGGCTGCTCGAGCAGCGAATGATGCCGGCCCTGCCACACCATGTGGCAATAGGGTTCATCACTAAACACCGCGATGTTTTTTCCACGCACCAGGCTGGCTAAGCCTTGTAGATCATCCTTCGTAGCCACGCCACCAGTGGGATTGTGAGGGCTGTTGAGAAAGATGGCCTTGGGGTGTGGATCGTCAGAAAGGAACTTCTCGACGTCAGCCAGGTTGGGCCGGAACTCGTTCGCCTGTTCAAGCGCTGCGTACGTAACGCGTGCCCCACGACGGGCGATGTTCGGCGGATACGTCGGGAAGTATGGACTGAAGACCAACACCCCGTCGTTGGCATCGAGGAAGGCCTCGCAGAATAGCAACTCGAAGATCTTCGCCCCAGGGCCAATCACCACATTCTCGGGACCAACAGCGACATTGAACTCTTTCTTGACCAGCGCGGCGGCCGCTTCCCGCATCGGTCCTAAGCCCGAAGATGGACCGTAGTGAGTATGCCCCGCTTCAATGGCTTCGATGCCGGCTGCCTTTGCGGCCGATGTGGTCGGGAAGGGGCTATCGCCAATTTCAAGCTCGATGACGTCTTTGCCCTGAGCCTGCAACTGCTTCGCGATTTGTAGCACCGTGAATGCCGTTTCGACCTTAACGTTCTGGGCGAAATGGCTATACGAAACAGGCATGCCGTAGCTTGATGCCGCCGCGGAGGTGCGGCCTCCCGTAGAGAAATGTTATTTCAGGGCGATGGCTCGCGCGAGAGGACGCAGAATCTGCTCCACCACATGGCTATCGACCAACTCGTGACAAATCCGAGCCAACCGGTGCAGAGCATCTACAAACGAGGTATCTGGCCCCAGGCTGCCATACTGGCGGGCGGTAAGATAGACACTGAGTTGCTCTTCGGGAAACTCACCCGTACGTACCTGATAGGCGTTCGTACGTGTTTCGATACTTAGCCGACATTGCACGCGACAATCCTCGTCTAGAGCTAAAGTAATCGATGGCTCGTGGTTGATGATGCAGGCCCCGGAAATCTCAGCCATACGTTCGAACGCTGGGCTGATCCCCAAGGCTTCGGTAACTAACTCATTGTGATTGCCTCGGTAGGTGAAATCGAAGCCATAGAGCAAATCGAGCGATTCGCAGTCCATGGGACTCACGCTCAGTAGGTAAGGTGCCATATCGAGCACCATCTCATGCTGATCGAGAACGTCTTTCACAGAGTCGGGATTCACCTGCCCCGAGCAAACCCGGCGGGGCTCGATCGTCGTCCAACGATATTGCCCACGGTCTTTGTCTTCTTCCAGAACGAAATCGCCCTTATCGCGACTGTAGAAGTTCCGCATGGTCGGGTACTTCTTCTGCACGCGATCGAAGAAGTGGAGGATCGTCTCGCGATTGTCAGGCAACTCCATCTCAGTGCTGAGATGCATGTTGATATAGAAGTCGTCGCACAGTGAATCGTAGCCGGTCATGAATTCTATCCCTGGAAGAGACTACGGGCATACGTACCGGAAACGGTGAGGCGACATCGCTTCTGCGGCCTGTTTGTCAGGTGCCTGCCTCAGTATAGAATGCGACCGTCGAGAGTGTCAAAGCCAGCGTCGTACAGGCAGAAACTGCGTCTTGCAGGAAAGGATTCGAGCACCATGCCCACGGTCGAGAAATCGCTGCTGGTCGACACCTTCCCGTCAGAACTGGGCTGGATGGCCATCCTTAGCGACGGCGAAAAACTGGTGCAGCTCACCTTTGGGCACAGTTCCCCGAAGGATGCCATCGCCAAACTCGATGCGGTCGACATTCGCACCTCATTCGAGGGAGGCTGGAATCCAGAGGCCATCGCTCGACTGCAAGCATTCGCTGCAGGAGCCGACGTAGATCTTTCCGATATACCTGTAGACCTCGGGAAGGTGACTGCCTTTCAGCAGCGTGTATTCGACATGTGCCGCCAGATCCCGTACGGGCAGACACTGACCTATGGTGAACTGGCCAAGCGAATCGGCCAGCCACGAGCCGCTCGCGCGGTGGGTAACACCATGGCCCGAAACAACCTCCCCCTGGTGATTCCCTGCCACCGTGTCGTGCCGGCCTGCGCTGGCATCGGCAACTACTCCGCCGGAGAAGGGCGTCGGAGCAAATTGCGGCTGCTGGAAAACGAGGCCGCGAAGGCCCCCAAGCCTCGCTAGCAGCGCAACGCATACGACGCTAGATGGCACCGGTTTTTTTCTGAAAAGCTGATCTGGATTCGATCGGCCCTCGTCGGCACAATACGCCCCGCAATGACTTAACGGCAGGGGCACAAAACAGATGGTGACCAGGCCGGAAGTCGAAACCGTACGAACTCGCAGGGGGCCAGTCCGTGCATGATGGCGCAACGTGAATCACACATTAGATCCTGCCTCTTTGACCATTGATCAACGTAGCAACGGAGCCTTGATCATCCGCGTCCACTCCAACGACGAAGACGGACATCCCCTACCCGACGCCGTCTTTACCTTCCGCGAAGGCGAACCTCAGTTCGAGCATTGGCTGGAACAATTCGAATCGCAACAGTGCACCGCCGGACAAGCCTAGAGACTTGGCCACCTAGTTCGATGGTGCATCCGCCTTCGGGCGAATGAGCTGGAAATACCGGCGAATGGTTTGCTGGTGCCCCAGCGGCAATGGTTCTGATTCGAGAACGGCCCGCGATTGTTTTTCGTACTGCTTGTAGATCTCGCGGTACGTTCGCTGCGCGGTAGCCGCTTCCGATTCGGCGATCGATGTCTCGCCGCTGGACGCGCCTTCACCCAAGGTGCCGGTTAGTTCAAGCTGTTGGCGTTGGCTATCAAGCTGGGTTAGTTCCCCTTCCAGATCGCCGTGCGTCCCCGTTCCAACTTCGGAAGAGGGGCGTTGTGGCTCTTGGCCGGGGATATCGACCGACTGGCCGTTGGTGATCCGCGCTTTGCTTTCGGTCATCGCGGTCAACTGGTTCTGCAGTTGACGATCTGCTTGTACTCGCTTTCCATGCTTACGAAGCTGCGCGGCTAGATCCAGGGCTGCTTGCGCTGACTGCTGGGAATCATCGTCGCGAAGCCCTTCGCTCATTTCACGCACCGGATCGGCCAAATTCTCGAGCTCGGCCTCGCCGAGTTCATCCGCCAAGTCTTGCAGACTTTCGGCCGCAGCTTCTGCGGCAATGCCTTTCAACTGCTGGGGATCGAAGCCTTCCAAGCCCTCGGCGGCCGCTTCGAAATCGAGTTGCGCAAGAGCGGAGCCTATTTGTTCAAGCGCCGCAATGTCCTGCATCGCTTCAGCAACGTCCAATAAACGGGCCTGCATACGCTCTACGTCATACTCGGCCTGCTGCTGCCGAATCGTCTCTTGGAGCCGCGATAGCTCTTCCAACATATCCTCCACCCCCCCGGCTTCCTCGCGCATCCGCTCGCTGGTCTCCCGGAATCGTTCAGCCAGCTCATGTAGCTCCTGGTTCTGCTCTTTTTCTGCCAAAGCACTTAGCCGATCTGCCTGTGCGCTCAACTGTTCAGATTCTTGACTTTTCTGCAGTGATTCACTCAGCGCTTCTGCCCGCGACGGTGTGATGCTTCGCGGGACGAACGTGAGCCCGATGGCCAGCATGGCCAGAGCTATTCCGACCACACCGTATCGCGGCATGGACCACGGAATTACCTCGCGAGGGTCAACCTGCGCAGCGAACGCTCGGGCGTCATCAAGTTGCAGCTCGTGCAGTGGCGAAAGGTCACCCAGGCGTTCGAACTCAATGGCCGACAGAAGTCGATCTTGCAAGCCGTAGCAGCGGTCGGAATCGACGGCGGCGTCGGTCAATGAGTATCGCCGCAGAGCCCCAATGGCAAAACCGGCCATTGGAACAGCAAGAAGGATGAGCCCACTGATAGTCCGAGACTGGGAACTGTTGAGGACCAGGGCTGCAACAGATGCGGCAGTCAATCCGAAGGCCGTGACCAACAGCGCTGCCAAGGCATACCTCCCGCCAGTGACCATCTGTCGCCGGCGAACCACACCTTGCAATGCCTCGCTAACTTGCCTGTTCGCATTGCCTGAGCCATCTTGCCGCATCAGAGCTTTGCCTCGCTTTCCTGCGTTCCGACGCTCCCCATTCCTATCCGCCGAATAGCCACATCCAAGACATTCAATGCTGCCGCGAGCACCAACAGCCAGGGCCACAGCGGGGTCATTCGCAGTCCGGGGGTGCCCAAGGTCAAGAAGATTTCCTCTGGTGAAGGATCGAAACGCCCTCCAGATGCCGAGGCGATTTGCTTCAATAACGTGAGATTGGGGGACTGCACCCGAAGTTCGTCGGGATAGCTTGCGGCCACAGCATGGGATGCCCTGTATCGGGGTCGACCATAGTGTGCCTGTCGCACTTGGAGTTGTGTCGTTTTCACTGGCGATGTTTCAACCACAGTTTCGTATCGCCCCGGCGCTGTTTGCGTCAGTTCTTTTGTTTCGACCTGTCCGGCATCCCCCATCACGTCGACTTCCGTGTCGGCTTGGTTGATAAACTCACCGCGTTCGTCAACGACATCGAGTGTGATTTTGGTGCGGCCTTGATCACTCTCCAATACAAGCTCCGCGTCTCGCGTTTCTTCGGAACGCATGGTGTGACGTGCGAGTTGCGCCCAAAATCGGCTGTACCCGGGCCAGTCGAGCCACTCGGCTGCCCAACGGCTCGAGGCATCGGACGTGAACGCCGCGACTGTGCCCAGCCCGAGCCTCCACCACGCCAGCAAAGGTTCGCCGCTTTCGGTGGCGAGAATGAGTTCGCTGGTGGGCTTAGGGCGTGTGCCGACGTACCCCAACAGAAAAGGGGCCGTTTCAATTTCGATGTCGTCCAACACACGGGTCGGCCTCATCAGAACCGGGAGGAACGGTTCTTCATGCAACGCCGAGCGACTGGCAGCTATGGTCTCTCTGGCAAACACTTGGGGCACCGAACTGGCATCTTCGCAGAAGTAGTACCGCCCTTGTCCGGTTTCGGCGATGCGTTGCAATAATTCCCGATCCGCCTCTTCGCCAACGGCCACCGTAGAAACGGTGATCCTTGCGGCATTCATGGCAGAAACCAGCGAATCGTAATCACCCGGTGGTGAATTTCCGTCGCTGAGAACAATGCAGTGCTTCAGGTTCGCGTTCGAGGCTCCCAATGCCAGAAAGGCCTCGTTGAGTGCCTGATAGAGTTCGGTGCCCCCGCCAGCGGTGATTCGACTGATTCGCTCTAAGATGTAGTTCTTGTCGGTGCAGGGGTGAATCTCGGAGACCCAGAACGCGTCGCCCTCGAACGCTAAGACGCCCACGCTGTCGTTCACCCCTAACAGTTCAACTGCCCCCTTGGCGGCATCCTTGGCGAGTTCGATCTTCTCCCCGGTCATCGAGCCCGACCGGTCGATCGCCAGCACCATCGCCATGCTCGGCTTCTCTTCATCGCGTTCGAAATCGCTTCGCAGCGGCAGCAGTTCTTCCAGGGCGGAGCCGTAGTAACCGCCAAGGCCGAAGGATTGCTCTCCACCGATCACCACCAATCCGCCGCCCAGTAATTCGACATACTGCCGAAGGGCTTCCACTTGCTGGTCTGACAAATCTGGCGCAGGAACATCAGCCAACATGATCAGATCGAACGGCTCCAGCTCTGCGCGACCCTCAGGTAAGCCGGTGGTGGGACGAACTTGAACAGCCAACCCTTCCTCTTCGAGAGCCCATCGCAGATGGTTGGCCCGTTCCGGTTCTGATTGAATCAACAGCACCTTTGGCTCGCCTACGGCATAAACGAACGCTTCGGCTTTGTTGTTATTGAGCTGGGTGTCGGGAAAATCACGGACCACGGCCGTAATGCGCGCCTGATCGCCATTGAGGGCATGCCGAAAGCGATAATGGGTCTGCCCTTCGGTCACCTTCTGCGCCTCGGAGACGATGAGGTGATCATTCTCGTAAATCTCGATCACCCCCTCGCCTTCCCGTGTAGCGTCCAATATCACCTCAACAAAGAACGGTTCGCCGCTTCGGACTTCAGCCGGGGCTGTAAGCGACGTGAGTTGCACCTCTTCTGGAATGTGCCGCTCCAGAGGAACCGTCGAAATCGGTACCTCGCAGTTCAATGCTGCCTGGAATGCGTCACCTTCCGTCTCTTGCCCGTCGGAAAGCAGCACAACATGCGGCGCATAACCAGCTGGGATTCTTGCCGTCGCCCTACGGATGGCCTCTTCGAGGTTAGTCGCCAAAGTCCCTGACTGGCCGTTGAACTTAACAACCTCCAGGCGATTGCCGCCTTGCAGCTTTCGTGCCTGCTCGATGAACTCGTTGGCTTGCCCGGCAGCTTCTGGATCAATACTCTGGCTTTCGTCCACTGCGATAACGACGAACGCTTCATAGGCTGGCGAAACCAAAGACAACTCAGCCAGAGCGACCACGAGCAAGACGATGGAAGTCGCGCGTGTGAAGGTCGAGGCGAGACGCCGTGTTCGCCCCAGTTGCGTGAGCGACACCGCGGCCACCCCCACTACCCAAGCCAGGGCGATCAGCCCGTACAGATAGGTCGTGTGGATGAGTTCGAGGCTGTAATCCGTCGATGGCATATCAGTTGATCCATCTATGGTGATACAGCAACCATTCCGCCAGGCTCAGACAAATTGCCGCCATTACGACATACATCCACACCGGACGATGCGCTGCCTGAAACACTGATGCGACCTCTGTCTCACCGACTTCCCCACGAAGAAGGTTGCTTTCCCCTTCGTTGGCCAGATTGCACGCCACTTCGAGCGTGGTTGCATGATTCCCAGAGTGGGCCCCCAATCGAATCTCCCAGATGCCGCATTCATCGAGAGGCCCGATAACAGAATCACCCTGACTGCCTATCAGCGTCTCTTCCCTGCCCGATGGTGAGCAGATCACGACACTCGACGTGTTCTCTCTCCCCGGCAAATCAACAAACTCGCCGGTTTGGTAGACGACTTCCATCTCACCAGTGTTGTCGGTCAGCCAACTGAGTGCATTCGCTACCAGAATGGGAAATGCTGTCCGCAGTGGGAGATCCCCCTCTTCGAGAGCGACATTTAGAACAACCGCCTGATGTTCGCCGTCACGGAAGGCAAACAGCAGCGGATCATCGCCTGCACTGCTGGCCAGCACCTCGGCGTTCACGCTTAGGTCGAGCTCGTGTGCACCGCGAAATTCCAAACCTTGAAGATCTATGTGCTGCAGAAGTGGTGAATCTTCCTGATCGGCGACAAATGCAGTCTCCAATCCTGGACCCAACTGCCACTGCGGGATCGAACTCACCGGCTCGATCACCAGCACCTTGCCTGATGGGAGAGCATCGAACGGCTTCTGATACACTACGAGCACATCTTCCGGCCCGACATCGTTCGGCAGATCATCAACAATATACAACTCGACCTGTGGCTGTGCTTCTAGCACGCTTCTCAAGAAGAGATTGTCGGGCCCCACCAGGAACACCCGTCGAGTGCTCCGAGCTGGCAGCATCGACCACGCGGTATTGTCCAGTGCCAAGGCGTCCTCGTGTTCGAGCCGCGCAGTCAATTGGCCGCCTTCCACCGCCGACTCGACAAGCACCTGGTTCCACTTCTCACCGGGAGCTAGATCGAGTGGCACCACATCCACCACACTGCCATTCAACGCCAACACCAACTGGCACCGAGTCGGCTGTCGTGAAAAGTTCTGTACCTCCACCAGCACCTGATAACCCAAGGGATCGTTGAAGCTGCGGCGAGCCTGAAACCGCGTGATGCCCACATTATCCGCAGGCCCGCCCACAGAGATCCTGTCCACTTGATCGAAGCCCTCTATGGGTTTCTCTTCGTCGACCGACTGATCGCTGATGACAACTAGATGCTTCTGCCCCTCACTGGGGATCTCCGCTGCCAGAGAAAAGGCCGCATCCAACTGCGCCGGCACTTCGCAAGCTTGAATATCAGCGATCGCCTGCCTCACAGTGGAACGCAGTGCTGTTGGCCGACACTTAAGCCGCGGTGCCCCACCGGCCGTTACCACCGCCACCTCATCGTGGGCCGATAGTCGGCTGATGGAACCCAATGCCTTCTCCCGAGCTGCCTCAAATCGAGACGGTGCAAGATCCGTCGCATTCATACTGGCCGAGTTATCGATGACTACCACGACTAGCCTGGGTGCCGTGTCTCGCCAATAAAACTGGGGATCGGAAAGCGCCAACACAAGCAAGGCCAACACCAACAAATGAGCCGCCAGCGAGAATAGATCTCGCACTCGATACCAGGGCGCTGCAGACCGAGCATGGATCTCACTCGTCCCCCAGAACATGGTTGTCGAAACTTCAACCCGTGGTGGACGGACCCGCAGCGCGTACAGCGCGATCAGCGGTACCGCCAACAGTAAAAGCCAAAGTGCACTGGGGTTCAAGAAGGTCATAAGTTCTTCGGAGTCACTCCAAAAGACGGTTTCTGCGTGGGAGCATGACTAGGTTCTTCCCACGAGAGCACCAGCCGCCCGCATCATATCGAGGATCAACTCCTCGTAGCTCCTCTCGGTCGAGGCTGCCACATAGCCGCAGCTGTGCTTGCGACAGTAGGTGGCAATCGAATTCAGAAAAGCTTGGTAACGCTGCAGGTATTCCTGCCTTCTTTGTCGCGTGATGGTGACGGTTTCGACCCGCTGTGTTTCTGCATCGACCAGTTCGACTTCACCCCGCAGTGGAGGATTGGCCTCGCTTGGTTCACTGAGCTGTATCAGGTACGGCTCATAGCGTTCGTGCCGCAGCAGGTCGAGTCCTCGTTCAATTCCCGCGGGATCGTAGAAGTCGCTGACGATCACCACCAACCCTCGCCGCTGCCGGCGGTTGACAAAAGTGCGAACACTTCGTTCAAGGCTGGTCGTCGCTCCTTGCTGCGAATCCAAGTTCTCCAGATAGCGCATGAAAGGGTGGATACGTTGCTTACCACGAACCACGGCGAAGTCGCTGTGGACATCACTCGAGAACGACGTCACCCCCACGCAATCCAAATCGTCGAGCGCGATGTAGGCTAACGCCGCCAGTAGCCGTCGGGCATAATCAAACTTGCTCGGGCTGCCGAAACTCATACTTCTCGAGCAATCGAGCAAGAAGTAGACGTGGAGATCTTCTTCCTCCTGGAATCGCTTTAGCAACAGCTCACCATGTCGGGCATAAACGTTCCAGTCGATGTCCCGCAGTTCGTCGCCCGGTGTATAGTCACGGTGGTCGGCAAACTCGGCTCCGATTCCCAAACGCCGACCCCGCCGCTGAGCGAACAACTGCCCACGGAAGGTGCGGCGCGAAACCAGCGCGAGGTACTCAATCCTCTCCAGGAATTGTGGATCAAATAGCGTCATGAGCTACTTCGTTAGATGAAAGCTAAAACTCACAAGCGAAACTGTTGCTCTACTCAACGGTGCCCGGCAACGGGACCTCTGCCAGCACGGTTCTGATAACATCGTCAGGCGTAACGTTCTTGGCTTGGCCTTCGAAGTTCAAAATGAGTCGATGCCTTAAAGCAGGGAACGCCACGGCTCGGATATCTTCCGCAGCAACGTGAAAACGATTGTCCAAGATGGCATGAATCTTGGACCCCAGCACGAGCGCCTGCACCCCTCGGGGGCTTACGCCATAACGCACATAATCGCGAGTCATCCGCGGAGCGCCCTCATGCTCTGGGTGAGTGGCCATAACCAGCGAGATTGCATAGCGACGCACGGCCTTGGCGATCGGGATCTGACGTGCCAGGTGCCCTAGGTGTTCGATGCGTTCGCCGTCGAATACCGCTTCGGTCTTGGGCACTTCAATCTCGGTGGTGCGATCGAGGATCGACTCGAGGTCTTCGACCGTCGGGAAACGCACGATCAGCTTGAACAGAAAACGGTCGATCTGCGCCTCGGGCAGGGGGTAGGTGCCCTCCATCTCCAGAGGATTCTGGGTGGCCATCACAAAGAACACACCCGGCAAGGCATGCGGCTTGCCAGCCACGGTGATCGACTTCTCCTGCATGGCCTCCAGCAGGGCCGACTGGGTTTTCGGAGTCGCGCGATTGATTTCGTCTGCCAACACGATATTTGCGAAAATCGGCCCAGGCTGGAACTCAAACCGGCGGCGGCCATCGCCCTCCTCGGAGATCACGTTCGTCCCAATCAGGTCGGCCGGCATCAGGTCGGGAGTGAATTGCACCCGCTGGAACTTGAGATGTAGAGCGTCGGCCAAGGTGCGCACCAGCAAAGTCTTCCCCAAGCCGGGAACTCCCTCGAGCAACACGTGCCCACCGGCTACCAATGCAGTGAGCGCCCCTTTCACGACGTCGTCTTGCCCTACAAAAACTTTGCCGATTTCATCGCGAAGACGCTGGAAGTCTGTGCGAAATCGCTCCAATTGCCCCCTGAGCAGTTCAGCTTCAGTGGTCGTGGGTTCATTCAATGAAGACGAAGACGTCATGCGTTACCTTTACTCGCTGCGTGGTATCTAGGCTGTGCCAGGCTTTTCAGCCCAGTTGTTCAAAGCCGCAAGAGCCAGTCAAACCAAAAACCCAACTTCTTCAACGAAAAGCGACTGGTATCCCAGCCCTCTGCCTCTTTATACGCCCATCGCTCCTCATGGGTTGATCGTAAGACTCATACGAGGGCGATCTAATCTCGCAATATTCATGATATCCTAAGGCCGATACCCAATGGGTGCATCCCACGTAGCGGCTCGCGAATTCTCACGATGAAGATTCTCTTCCTACACGGCTGGACTTCTGTCCCCGGCGGGCGAAAGCCGACCTTTCTAGCCGATGCTGGCCACGATGTTCTCAACCCTGCCTTGCCCGACGAGGACTTCCCGGAAGCCGTCTCCATTTCACAGGCCATCTTCGACGAGCATCAGCCCGACATCGTGGTTGGATCCTCGCGTGGTGGCGCCGTGGCGATGAATATTCAAAGTGGTGCCAGCCCTTTAATTCTGCTTTGCCCGGCTTGGAAACGATGGGGAAGTGCAGACACCGTAAAGCTGAACACCACAGTACTGCATTCCAGGGCAGACGAAGTGATTCCGTTCGCCGATAGTCAGACCCTGGTCAAGTCTAGCGGTCTACCACACAGCGCGTTAATCGAAGTAGGTCACGATCACCGATTGGCCGATCCGGATTCGCTGCAAGCGATGTTGGTTACATGCCACAAAGCTGGCGGATAAAAGCATTCGTCACAAAACCGTAAACTAGATTGATGATGGAGAACCACGGCGCACTTTCTGCGCAATCCTGTTAAGCTGCCCTCCAATCGACATCCTGATGATCACCCGCATATTCCGCATCCTGCCGATAATGCATCCAATTCACATTTCGTAAAGGGGATACTTCCATGGCATCTGCAAGCAATCTGCCGATGGCCCACCTTCCTGCAGTGGGCGTTGAAGAACTGAAAAAGAAGTGGGGCTGGTTCCTGGCCCTCGGTATCTTGATGATCGTGGGCGGAACGATCGCCCTCGGGGCATCGGTTTTGATGACCGTCTTCTCGATGGTCCTGCTTGGTTGGTTGATGATCTTCGGAGGCGTGCTGGAAGCCGTGCATTCCTTCGCCTGCAAGAAGTGGAGTGGATTTTTTATCGACCTGCTCACTGGATTGCTCTACCTGGTGGTTGGCTTCATGATCATTGCCAACCCAGGCGCGGCTGCCGAAGCACTGACCCTGCTAATCGCGGTGTTCCTGATCTTTGGGGGCATCTTTCGTATGGGCCTGGCGATCAGCGTACGTTACCAGAACTGGGTTTGGCTACTCCTTCATGGCGTAATCAACCTGGTATTGGGCATCCTCATTTGGCAGCAGTGGCCATACTCTGGCCTGTGGGTAATCGGCCTGTTCGTCGGCATCGACATGCTGTTCAACGGCTGGGCACTGGTAATGCTGGCCATTACGGCCAAGAACATGCCTCCGCAGGAACCCGCGGCCGCCTAAGGCCTCGTTGATTCAGACAAACTTCAAGCCATGGAGATGGTGTCACCTCTTGTCTCCATGGCTTTTTTCTTGCGCAGCCTGAGAATGGAGGAGATTGAGAGACGCTCGAAGCATCCGTCCACCTAGTTATCTCCCAACGCTTGTCGCCTTTTGGATCGCGACGATGGGGGGTAGAATCAGGGGGTGGCTGGCCCAAGTTTCCAATCGGTGAATCGTGTGAACTAGCTCACGATTCGTAGCGGGCTTAATCCAGTTCACCAATGCGCCTGTAGCTCAGGGGATAGAGCAACGGTTTCCTAAACCGTGTGTCGCAGGTTCGATTCCTGCCAGGCGTACTTCACACTTCGCTCGCTTTGAGCCTCCACTCGTCCTGACATCTTTTATGGTCCTCGCCTTTCGGCAAATACTTTAGCGACGCACTTCGCTTTCTGCTTCACTCGCGACAGGCCCCCTGCCCCATTAGCGCATCTCCCCGGGAAGTGGGGATTAGCTCCATCGGCCTGGGTAATTCTCCACACAACAGTGGCATAATTCTGCTCTACAATAGAGTCAGTGGCCATGGATGGTTCTTCCCTCCTCGGGACGAACACTGCCTGTCAGGGTTGGTGCATCCCGAGTAATCCCTGAAATCCTACTTGAGCGGCAATCCGCACCCGCTCAAGAAGCACCACTCGAACGATCCAATGGTACTCGGCCTTCTCGATACTAAGTGGCAGTTTTACCCTGCGGCATCCCCAGCAAAGGCAGAGTACGTCTTGATGGGGCGTGCCGATGCTGGAGGGGCCTACAACAGCCACATTGTCTCCGTGGCTGTAATGATTGCCCTGGGGGCCGTCGGCTTACTTAGTCCCTGGGTAGCACTCTGGGTCGCTGCGTGCCTAGCAGTGGCGATGGCACTCGATGGCCGTCCTTGGCGGCGAATAGCCAAGCCGCGAGCGATCCCGGGGCAACTTTGGCTTTACTCCCAACTGTTCGTTCAGGCCGCCTGGGACGCCCTGCCCTTTTACATTCTGGCTTACCTGCTCTATGTGTGTTCGGCTCCGTTGATACTGCCGATCAACTTTGCAGTTAGCAGCCTTGTGATGATCTACGGCTTTTACATGCTCGTAAGATCCGCCACCCTGATCCGCTACCTGTGGGCCGTTCGATTCCGTTGGGACCGTGCGGGACGGACATTCGAAACCCATCAGGCGAATCTCAGCTCGCAGTCCGCAGCATTGCGACATGTCACGTGGGCATACGCGCTCGGAAATGTCGGGCTCATTGTCCGCGCGGGAAGCCAAGTCGTCACCCTTACTGCCTTCGAGTTCTTCCGGCAGCGTTTGGCGATGGACTTGACCCAATACCCGACATTAAACGCGAATCTGTATCTGATCTTCGGCGTGGCGTTTCTCGTCTGGCTGGCCACTATGTGGTGGTCGATCCAGCGAATGCTGATGATCTTCTACCGAACCCACCGCACGTTGCATGAACACCGTGCGTTGTACGACAGCATTCATGCCATTCATCATCGGGGCATTCTGCCCACACCGCTGGATTCTGGAACCATTTCCCCTGCGGAGTTCTGGATCACAGAAATGGCCTTCCCAACCTGTACCTTGGTCCCCAACTGGTGGTTTGCCCTGGGACAAATCGCGATGGCCTACGCAGCGCACCTGCCAGCACACAACTCAGGCAGCCGTATCGAATACGCACAGCATCACCTCCAGCACCATCGCCACTTCCGCTTCAACTTCGGCCTCACACCGGTAGAAGACAAGCAATTCGGCACACTGTATCCGGAAGAGACGCACCCGGCGATATCTCCCACGTAAACGCTGCGATTGCTTTCTCGGCGTCGCACCGGCGAGTAGACTGAAGCCAAATGCATCCTACTGTTTGGCACCTTCTCGGCGGGGTTCTTATGCAGATGAAACGAGCTTTTCATTGCCTTGCACTGCTGTTTATCGGGCTGTTTGGATGCACCAGTCATCTGAATGCCAACGACAAACCCAATCTGTTGATCATCACGGTTGATGACATGAGCGCCGACTCGCTGGGAGCGTACGGCTGCCCTCTCCAAGGCACTTCACCTACGATCGACGCTTTCTCGAAAGAAGCGCTGAGGTTCAAGCATGCTCACGTGCAGGTGGGCAATTGCATGCCGGGTCGCAACATCATGTGGTCGGGCATGTTCTCGCATGTGAACGGGGTGGAAGGCTTCGTTCAGAACAAGGAAGCCGACTATCCGGTGCTGTGCGACCTAGCCAAGGATGCTGGCTATTTCACCGGCATTCGCGGCAAGGTCGCGCACTCGACTCCGTTCACTCCCTACGCTTGGGACGCCGTGCTCGATACATCGCCCGAAGGAAAACCCTGGCACATCAAAGATGCACAGAGTTACGGCGAATCCACCCGGCAGGGAATTGCCATGGCCAAAGAGGCAGGGAAGCCGTTCTGCCTGTTGATCAACATTTCCGATCCACACAAGCCATTCTACGCACAGGGAAAGCGTGGCCAGACAATCGACGACCCCCACGTCCCCTCGCGGGTCTTTACGGCCGATGAAGTCCCCGTGCCGGGGTTCCTTCCAGAAGACGATGTCATTCGCCAGGAACTTGCACATTACTACTCTTCGGTCCGACGGGCAGACGACTGCTTCGCCGAAGTAATGTCAGCCCTCGAAGGTTCAGGCGAGGCCGACAACACGTTCGTCATGTTTCTCTCCGACCATGGGATGCCGCTGCCGTTTGCAAAAACACAGCTCTACCATCACAGCACACGCACGCCGCTAATGATTCGTTGGACGGGAGTAACGACACCGGGAGCGGTCGATGAGACTCATATGGTTTCGGCGATCGACTTCGTGCCCACGTTGCTCGACGTGATGGAACACAATCACCCTCAACCAGAAAGCCTCCAAGGGCGGTCTTTCGCACCTTTGCTAAAGGGAGAACCACAAGCCGACCGCGAGTTTGTCATTCTGCAATACAACGAGAACGCCGGACGCAATCGCCACCCCATGCGGGGCATCCAGACTCGTCAATACTTGTATCTGTACAACCCGTGGAGCAATGGCAACCGACAATTCGCCACGGCCACCATGGGAACCATGACCTATCGGCAGATGGTAAAACGGGCGAAGTCAGAGCCCGAAGTCGCCGCGCGGCTCGACCTGTTCGATCATCGAGTGCTTGAAGAGTTCTACGATGTGGAACACGACCCCGACTGCCTGAACAACCTAATCGACGACCCTCACGTTCAATCGAACTTAGAACAGTTACGATCGCAACTGGTCAAATCCCTGCAAGAGATGAATGATCCCGTAGCTCCCTTGCTGGCTGACCTCGACAATCAGCAGCTTCGCGAAGAATACATGTTGCAAGAGGATGCTTACGGGAAGAAGGCCAAGAAACGAAAACGTTGACTCACAACAGACGGCAGGAAACGAATGGACTTCGACCCTGAGCGCTATGCCTCGTTTTTTCGACGAGACGGATACTTCATCGCAGAGGATATTCTAGGTTTCGACGAGATCGAGGATTTACGTCGCGCCGTTGCCGAACTTCCCAACCGCGAAGAGGTCCGTCGCAAGAGAAGCGTCTATGGGGTGCGCAACCTCTTAGAAATATGTCCGGCTGTACAGGAGCTAGCAGCCCGAACCGAGATCCGCAAATTCGCCACCGCCGTAATTGGTCGAGCAGCGTTTGCCGTGCGGGCGATTTTCTTCGACAAGGTGGCCGACGCAAACTGGTCACTGTTCTGGCACCAAGACAACGTGATTGCGGTGAAGCATCGCATTGAGACACCCGGCTTTCTGGGCTGGTCGCAGAAGTCGGGCGTGTGGCAGGTGCAGCCTCCGGCCGAAGTGCTAGCCGGGATGGTGGCCGTCCGCGTTCATCTCGACGACTGCGGCAGCGACAACGGTCCACTGCGAGTCTTGCCTGGCTCGCATCGATCTGGCTGGTTAGATGACGAACTTGATCAATGGAAAGCAAGCGTCCTGGAGGTTGTTTGTAGTGTCGGCTGTGGGGGAATTTTAAGTATGTGCCCATTAACACTGCACTCGTCTGCCGCCTCTCAGGCCGTGGGGCACCGCCGAGTAATCCACATCGAATACGCCGCAAATGAACTGCCAGGCGAACTGGAGTGGAACAATCGCATCCTCCCCGAGGACGAGAGAACGCACGCGGCCAATTTCACCTGCTGAGCGAAATCTAACACCCCATAAGCTCGGTGCCCCTTTCTTCACTGGCGACTGAAACGTTAAGGTGAGTCTAAGCTTCCGCCACACTTCGCTGGGTTTGAAGGGCAAGTATCCTCGATCACACCACCTGACATGAACTCGTCTGTTTCCGAATATCTCAAGACCAAAGTTGCCGTCGTCGGAGCGGGCCCGTTCGGGCTGGAGTTGGCCGTTGCCCTGAAACGGCACGGGATTCCCTTCGAAATCTTCGACAGCGGCGCGATTGGTCAGACAATCTCTTGGTGGGCTCCGGGAACCCGCTGGTTCAGCAGCAACGAGCGGATCGCCATCGCCGGGGTTCCGCTACTTACTCCCAATCAAGCAAAGGCTACTCGTGAGGAATACCTGACTTACCTTTGCAGCGTCGCCAGGCAATTCGACATTCACGTACGGAACTACGAACGCGTGGTAGAGATCAACCAGCGGCATCCGGGCTTCACGGTCGTTACTAAGTGGCAAGATGCTGGCCGAGAGACCCAATGCGAAGCGGTTGTCCTTGCTGTGGGAGGGCTCGATCGAGCCCGGAAGTTGGGCATCGAAGGTGAAGACCTGCCCCACGTCGACGGATACCTCCGCGAGCTGCATCGTTACTATGGCCGAAAGGTTTTGATCGTCGGCGGACGCAACAGCGCCGTGGAAGCGGCCTTGCGACTGTATCACGCAGGCGCCGAGGTAAGCCTCAGCTATCGGGGCGAGCAACTCCCGCAAGATCACATCAAGTACTGGCTGCTCCCTGAAATCCAAGGGTTAATCCGCTCGGGTCAGATCACCGCCTATTTCAATACCCGCCCCGTCCGCATCACGCCAAGTCACGTGATGCTGCAGCTCTGCGACACTAAGGGGACAGCGGGCGAAAAAGAGGTCGAAGCTGAGGAGGTCCTCACGCTAATTGGCTACGAGCAAGACAAAACGCTCTTTCAGGCGGCCGGAGTCGATTTGGTGGGCGACGCACAGCGTCCGCAGTACAACCCCGAGACGATGGAAACGAACGTGCCCGGGCTCTACGTGGGAGGAACCGCGGTGGCCGGCACGCAAAGCAGCAGCTACAAGATCTTTCTCGAAAACTGCCACCAACACGTCGATCAGATTCTCGCCCACATGACCGGACAATCTCCGGCCGCAACCGACGAGGAGTTCAAGCGGCAGATCGAAGCCGCTCCCGAGAGCTAACCGTCTAAGGGGCCGGCTGCTTCATCGCGGTATCCAAAGAACTCACCTGCCGATCAAGCTTTAGCTGCAACTCTTCAATCGCCCTGCGAACTTGAGGGCTGCGATCGTTGATAAGATTCTGAGTTTCGCCAGGATCGTTGACCAAATCGTAGAACTCGTCGCGCCCCTCATTGGACTTATCGCGAATCAGCTTAAATTGGGGCGTTCGATAGCACCGCATGTCGGCCTCAGCGTAGTTGATCATGTGGTACTCGGCATAAAGATCCTGATCCCAGTCGGCCGGGCTTTCTCCATTGAGAAGTGGAAGCAGGCTTCGACCTTGTCGGGGTTCATCGATTTCAATACCCGCAATCGCAAGTATCGTGGGGAACACATCGAGACTGCTTGCGGTTTGCGTGATCACCGTCGCCGGATTCACCACGCTTGGCCATCGGACAATCATCGGGATGCGGAGCGAATGGTCGTACATGTTCGGGCGATACTTATCAGAGATCACCCGCGTGCCCTGGTGCGTGTTGACGGGAGGAGTATTTGTGGCCCAAATTCCGTTCCCTTTATGCCAGATACCGTTGTGTCCCATGTTGTAACCATGATCGGCAGAGAACATTACAACGGTATTTTCCGTGAGGTTCAGTTCATCCAGCAGTGCGAGCACTCGGCCCAAGTTACGATCCACTCCCGATGTGCTGGCCAGATATTCCCGCATCTGACGCTTCATTTTCTTGACGTTCAAATCCTCGTAGTCGGGATTCGGGATCGTCGGATCGAGACTCTCATAGGGTTCCCAATCCTCAGGTGCCACCGGGAGCCACGCTCCATGCGGAGCCCGAGTGTGCAGGCAGAGCAGAAACGGCTGGTCTTTCGAACGATTGATGAACCTCAACGCCCGATCGGTCAGGATGTCGGTCGTCAATCCTTTGAACTCCCGCACCTGGCCATCTTCTTCGAGCATGGGATCCTTTGTGCTGATTCCGCCCCCCGTCAGCCCCATGAAGTAATCGAATCCGTGATTCGTCGGATGAAATCTCGCATTCCCCTCCGCCGTCCAATCACCCAGGTGCCACTTCCCAACAAGCCCTGTCGTGTATCCGTGCCGACTGAGCACTTCTGCAAACGTCGTGCTCGCATCCGGATCAAGGGCTACCTGATACTCTGGGTCGTAGAGCTTATGCCCCGGCATAGGAATGAAGTCTTCAATGCCGAACTCACTCGCGTAGCGGCCAGTCATGTGACAAGCGCGCGCCGGGCTGCAAACCGGGGTGGTACAAAAAAAGTTTTGGAACACAGCCCCTTCACTGGCCAAACGATCCATATTCGGCGTATGCGCAGCCGGCACATCATCGAACCAGCCTCGACTCACCGCTGCACCTATGGCCCACGCCGCTTGATCGTCGGTGTAAACAAACACGATATTCGGCGGACGACTCTCTGCCGACAGTGATTCTGATGCGATGAACACCGCCAACACGAAGAGTGGCAAGATGCTTAGCGAACGCCAAAGATTGATACAGTGCCCTTGCTTGATGCAATTCGGAGCTAGCGATTGAGCATCTGCCTTTACCACTTGTTGCATAAAGTGACTACCTGCTGATTTGTTCGCGGAGGGGTGCGGACGAAGTTCGGTAACTGGGGCAATCGAAAAAAGCTCAAATGTGCACTCAGAGTCAAACCACTATCAACACGACTCCATGCCTACAAGCTCTTCACAGTTTACTCCACGGTTACAGCTCAAATAACCCTATTCAGATCAACACGAGCCCAAGCAGAAAGCCTATCACCCCGAGCACGCCCGATTCGACAATCCGCCCATGCTTGACACCAATAAGGCCACCGAACGCGATACAGCAAAGAAACCAGTAGCACAAAGACTCTAACTCGTAGGTCCCAAATGCCCCCTGTAGCCCGACGAATAGCAACGAGATAAGTACAAAGCCCTTGAGAAGCTGAGCCAGTGTAAAAGTAGGGTGCTCGGCCGTGGTCATTTTCATCACTCCCGTTTGAGCCAACGGATTTCTAACGGGCGGGTCGCACCGCATAAAGCAGAAACCCAGCCAGAACCAAACCGAGCAGAAGGCCAGCCAGCCCTAAGGTAACTCCCGCGAGGCTGCGACCACTTCTGGCCCCCACAGCCCCACCGAAGGTTGAGCAAAAAACCAATAGCGATAGCACTCCGAACTCGGTCCCAAGCGTGCATAGCAGCCCTACACCAGAGATGAGCGCCGCGATTACGTACGACACGAATTCTCTGAACTGGTCCACTGGAAGGCTATCGAGATTTGTTGTGCGAGCCATCTCTCATCCTCTGCAGAAAAAATATCTCACCCGGAATTCACCAGCCCACGCCTCTCGGGCGGGTTGATAATGAGCCAGGAACGCCCAACGATTTCCTCACGAGAAATCGTCCCATTGAATCGGCTGTCGTCGGAGTCCATCGACTCATCGCCTAAAACGTAGTAACCATCACCGCAGTCAAACACCTTGTCGCCATGCACATTCGCCACGGGGAGGTACTTCAGAAAACTGAGAGATTGGGGAGGATCGACCTCCTGACCATTTATTACGAGTTGCCCGTCGCGCAGAATCTGCAATTGTTCTCCCGGCAATCCTACAACCCGTTTCATGACCTCCAGGCCATCGCTTTCACGACGGATCGTCAGCACCTCCCACCGGCGAGGCTCCCGAAAGTAGTAGCTAAACTTCTCGGAGATTATTCGGTCGCCCTCCGAGGCACTCGTACCGTGAAGCGTAGGGCGCATGGAAGTCGATACCACGCTCGAGTAATGAAACCCGAGGAGATAGACGATGCACAGAAACCCCGTCAGCGCCAAACAACGCTCAACGCGCCGAAATCCCCAACGAACCCAAAGCACGGGCTTAAAACCTCCTGAGAGCTGACTACGGTCGACTCTCTAGCTCGGGCAACGGTTCTGCAGGGGCGGATTCGACTACTAGCACATCAGCCTGGTAGCTTTGCTGCTCGGCCAACGCTTTTTCTAGCTCAGCACGCCGCTCCTCTTGCTCGGTAACTCTCGACCGCGTGGCAGGCTGATGCGGCGTCATCACGCTCACGCAGAAAAAGATCGTAGCCAGACAGGCAACCCCAACGACCATGATGTCAGCAAGGGCATGGGATGGAGCAGTCTCAGGGGTAGATTCTGACGATTCATCCAGAGCGTCTACTAATGACTCCTCCGCTTCCGATTGTTGTGCCTCGTCTTCCAGCTTTCGCAGTTCGTCTCGCACATCTTCCGGTCTTTTGTCGCTCATGCCCTTCTCTCCCATAAACAATGGAAACTAATTCACAACTCCGCCAGCTTTCCCTGCATCACTAATCTGTATCGAGATCGCCATCTTGGTAGGCCTTTGCACTACCCTGACCAGCAAACGCGTCACGCATTTCGGCGAGTCTTTTCGACTTTTCCAGAGTTACAGTTTCCCGGGCCCCTCGAGCCGAATTGATCGTGCCCCGCAGGAGCGATAAGAGGACGATTACGGCAACCGTCGCCGTGACAAATTCCACCGCGATAGCCCCCAACCGCTTGAGCAGTGGCCGAAATTGGCTTCCCAAGGCAGATAGGGCATCCGCAGATAGTTCTGTCTTGCGCGCGATCACTTTAATAGCCCCTTCCGATTCGTAGACCGAAACAGAGCAACCAGCCTGGAGAGACTTCCGCAGCGAGGTCTAGCTCGATCGCAGGCACAGAAATGCAGACAACTGCATGAGCGCAGCAAAGATGGCGCAGAGTGATGCATTACGTACATCGCCCCTCTCCCTTCGGACAAACGCAGTAGGGGCACCCCGCATGGGTGAATGCCCTTCTCGCGCGAGTATCAATCTCGCGACCTCACTGCGTCGACCTTAGTTCCGAATTAAAATCTGACCCATCGTGCCAGAGTTGGCAGTTGAGAAGCTTGCTCTCATTGAAGTACCAAAACTGGTCCACAGTGGTCAAGAAAATTGCGCAAAAGATTTCACAACATAGCCGCGACTTTGATCGTGCGCTAACCATCACCTGGCGAAAAAGACACTCCCAGGCGTGTTAGTCGACCGCACCGCCTCAACTACTGCCTTCTTGCTCCATGCCCCCATCTGGGCTTTACTACGCAGGAGCATCGCTTCTATCCCCCTCCACGTTGCACCAATCGCCAACGGATTCGCCATCCTCAGATATGACGAACATCATTAAGACATCGATTCCTTTCTGGCTTTTTCTCTTTGCTCTCTTTCTCTGCGGAACAAGTGACTCCCAGGCACGTCACCCCAATGTTGTGATTATCTTGGTCGACGACATGGGCTACGGCGACCCGGGCTGTTACAACCCTCAGTCAAAGATCGCGACTCCGCACATCGACAGCCTGGCACGAGAGGGAATGCGATTCACCGATGCACACGCACCGGGCCCGTTGTGTCACATGTCGCGTTATGGGTTACTGACAGGGCGTTACCCGTTTCGCACCGATGTCACACGCTGGCCCAAACACCCATTAATTGAAGAAGGTCAGACGACCATCGCCTCGCTGCTCGCTTCTGCCGGGTACCGCACGGCTATGGTGGGAAAGTGGCATGTGGGGTTTGAAGAAAACGGGTACGAGAATCCCCTCCCCGGTGGGCCGGTAGATCGGGGCTTTGATAGCTTCTTCGGTATTCGCGCGTCGACAGACATTCCGCCGTATTTCTATATCCGCGGGAACAAAGCAGTTGCTCCGCCTACCGAGCCCATCGCGGCCAACAATTCACCAGGCTGGAGCCCGATCCAGGGAGCCTTCTGGCGAGCCGGACTCATCGCCCCCGACCTAATCCTGAAAGACGTACTACCGCGCATCACCGACGAAGCCTTAGATGTGATTCACCAGCATCATGCACAAAACCAGTCAGGCCAGAGTGAGCAACCGTTGATGCTGTACCTGGCCTACCCTGCACCGCACACACCCTGGCTCCCCTTGACGGAGTTTGAAGGACGCAGCGGAGCCTCGATGTATGGCGACTTCATGATGATGGTCGACTCGATGATCGGCCGCGTGCTCGATGCGCTTGAAGAGACCGGCATGAACGACGACACGCTCTTGGTCTTTACCTCAGACAACGGTCCAACCTGGTATGAGCACGACGTCGAACGCTTCGGTCACGACTCATCCGGAGGGCTTCGAGGAATGAAGGCCGACGCATGGGAGGCCGGTCACCGCATGCCGTTCATCGTTCGCTGGCCGGGCAAGGTGCACGCCGAGTCAGAAAGTCAGCAGACCATCTGCTTCACCGATTTATTGGCCACGTTTGCGAGCATCGTCGACGTCGAACTCCCATCAGAAGCAGGTCCCGACAGCTTCGACTTTTCTCCGGTTCTGTTGGGCACCCAACTCACCGACACCCCTATTCGAGACAGCCTCGTTATGCGATCGGGGGCAGGCCTGATGACGGTTCGCAAGGGAGGTTGGAAGCTAATCGAGGGCCTGGGCTCCGGCGGCTTCACCAAACCCAGCCGCATCACACCCGGTCCCGATGCCCCCAAAGGCCAACTTTACAACCTGGCCGATGACCTTGCAGAGACGACAAACCTCTATAAGGAGAAGCCACAGGTCGTCGAAGAGTTGCAAGCAGAGCTGGCTCGAGTTCGCGGAGCGGCCAGAACTCGTCCCTAATTGTTCACGGTAGCCGCACGAATTGAATCTGGCGAACATCCATGAGCGCCGCCTTCTTAATGTTCTTGGGCTGTAGTTTCACGGTGTAGCTGCCGGGTTCCGGAATCTCGATCACCCCCACGGACCTCCAGATGAAATTCTGAAAGTGCCCCGTCTCCTCGACCGTAAAGTCCACTTCATCGATCACCTGGGCGTCCTTTTCAACAGACAAGGTAGCAACACTGCCACCCTGCTCCGGTCCACAGCCTTGAAGCAGGCCAACGTTGAACTTACCTGGCCACTCTATGTCCACGGTCCATGTGGCGAAATCTTTGGGATTAACCCAATACCCAACCGTATTCTTGTAGGGCTGCGGCTCGAAGCGAAGTTTCTCGCCATGGGTATTCGCCTGGTAAGCGTGAAGGTCGAACCGACCATCGCCGAGTTGTGTGATGGCTTTGATCTCGCCATTCAACATGGGAGAGGTATCAAACTCTAGAACAATCTCTGCATCCTCCGGAATCGGTCCGCTCGAGCGGATGGTCCAATACTCGGGGTCTGGATGCAGGCTAAGTTCCGTCTGGATCTCGCTATTTTTCCAGGCCAAATGCTTTAGCGACGCATATACCCGTGGTATCAAGACACTACTGGTTTCGCTGTTGCTCACACCAATGAAAAGAGAATTGCCCTCACGACGTACCTGGGGTTCTGACTCGAACGAAGTCACACTTCGCAGATCAAGCACTTCTCCAGCAAAGACGCTCAGTGCGGACATTGCGCATGACAATAACGTGAGATTCAGCAGAGTTAGCTTCACGAGGAAAACGCCTCAACGAAAAGTAAGAATATTGATGCTTTACCTGTGCACAATTTGGCAAGGTGCTTAGAAACGCGGTGCAGGATATCGGTTGCCCTACTGTAGGTAGAATGCAACCGCAACTCCAGCTTTACTCTTGTCCAGGCGACACATCTGCCAAACTGGGTCGATCACGCAGGAAGTCGCAATGGGCTCCGAAGGCGTGCTCAACATTGAATTCTGCTCTATCGTGAGATTCCTACTGAATACGCAATCTGCAGCCAGCAGGGCTTCCGAGCCAACTTTTTTCCTTTTAACTGGCTGGTTGCCTGCAACTAGAATGGGGAGAAAATTTCTGCGCTCGCTTTCTCATTCCGTGCCCGTGACCTCCGGGAATCGATTATGCAACACGCTTTCCTTCGCATCATCTACATCGTGGCATTCTTCGCCTCTTGCCTGTCATACGAACGCGCTGTCGCCTCAACAGTCGAACGTCCCAATTTCATCGTCATCAATATCGATGACCTGGGATATGGCGACATCGGCCCTTATGGTTCGACGCTCAATCGAACCCCCAACCTCGATCGCATGGCAGAAGAGGGACGCCGGTTGACTTGCTTTTATGCCGCCCCGGTCTGCTCGCCATCTCGCGCGTCGTTGATGACGGGCTGTTATCCCAAGCGAGCCCTGAGCATCCCACACGTTTTGTTCCCGGCCGACCCCATGGGACTTCATCCTGACGAAGTAACCGTGGCCGAGTTACTTTCAGCCACGGGTTATGCCACCGGAATCATTGGTAAGTGGCACCTGGGCGATCAGCCTGAGTTCCTCCCTACCCGGCAGGGCTTTGACTACTACTTTGGGCTCCCCTACTCCAACGATATGGGCCCAGCAGCGGACGGGGTGAAGAGCAATCTGGGTGAGCCTCTACCAAAGCTCAAAGGCAATCGTGCAAATCAACCGCCGCTTCCGTTGATGCGCAACGAAACGGTTCTCAAACGTGTTCTGCCTCAAGATCAGAGAAAGTTGGTTGAGAACTACACAAACGAGGCAGTCTCCTTTATCTGGAACCACCGCGACGAACCATTTTTTCTGTACCTGCCCCATTCGGCGGTACACTTTCCGCTCTATCCCGGCGAGGCCTTTCACAATCAGTCGAGTAACGGGCTCTTCGGCGATTGGGTCGAAGAAGTCGATTGGAGCGTGGGGCAGGTACTGCAAACGTTGCGCGACCTAGGCCTGGATGAGCGCACCCTGGTGTTGTTCACGTCTGATAACGGTGGACAGCCCCGGCACGGGGCGGTGAATGCCCCATTACGAGGTGGAAAGGGCAGCACATTCGAGGGTGGCGTGCGTGTCCCTACCATCGCCTGGTGGCCAGGAAACATTCCTGCCGATACCGAAATTGCCGCAGTGACGAGCATGATGGACATTCTTCCCACGTTCACCAAGCTGGCCGGCGGCAAAGTCCCCACCGACCGCACGATCGATGGCGGTGACATCTGGCCCATCCTGGCGGGAGCCGCGGACGCAGAGTCACCTCACGAGGAATTCTACTACTACCGAGGGCTCAAGCTTGAGGCCGTTCGTAGCGGACCCTGGAAGTTGTTCCTGAAAAGCGGCGAACTCTACAACCTCGACTCCGACATCGGTGAGTCGCAGAACGTCGCCGAGGCTCACCCGGAGATTGTCGCTCGCATTCGCAAGCTGGCGTCCGCCATCGATTCCGATCTAGGCACCGAAGCCATTGGTCCCGGATGTAGAGCCCTGGGGCGAGTCAACAAGGCGGAACCGCTGATCAGCCGCAATGGAAAGGTCCGAGAAGGGTTCTCGCCATCTTCACCCCAGGCAGCTATGGGAATCATGATTGGCGAGCTATCTGCGACCACCGCTCTGGCCCAGGTTCGCCTCAACAAGAACGATCCGATTGTTGACAGTGATGCAAGCGGTGCAGCAGGTGTCGTACGGTTTGTGCTGTACGCAACCGAGGACGATGCTATGCCCGTGGCAGAGAAGACGGCCAAGGCGGAAGCCGAACACGACTTTATTGCCCGACTTGCTTTTGAGGGGCTGGAGCCAGGGACTACCTACGTCCTTAAAACTCAGGTCGGTCAGGATGAAAACTCCTTTCACCCCGGCCCTACGGCAGAATTCACGACGCTTCCCGGCCGCGACTCAGACAAGGCGGTCCGCTTCGTCGTAGTTACGGGCATGAACTACGCGAAATTTCACGGCGACAATCGTATCGATCGGCGTCAGCATCGCATTCAAAACAACACCGATTTACCCCAGGCCTACTCTGGCCCAGACAAACACTTGGGCTACCCCGCGTTAGACACCATCCGCAAATTGCAGCCCCATTTCTTCGTTGGTACAGGGGACAATGTCTACTACGACACACCAACAAAGCCGCGAGCACAAACACCTGCCGAGCTCCGCAAGAAATGGCACGAGCAATTCATCCAGCCCCGGTACCGTGAGATGTTCGCCGTTGTGCCGACCTACTGGATGATCGACGACCATGACTTCCGCGTGGACGACTGCGACCTGACGGGCGACTATGCCCCATCTCCTGAGTTGGGTCGGCAAATGATGCTCGAGCAGTTGCCCGTTACCCCACGTGAAGATGATGACGCAAAAACCTATCGCACGCATCGTGTCAATCGCGACCTGCAGGTGTGGTTCCCTGAAAACCGCATGTATCGCAGCCCCAACGCGATGGCCGATGGACCGGACAAATCAATCTGGGGCACTGAGCAGAAAAAGTGGCTCTATCGCACGTTGGCCGAAAGCGATGCCACCTTCAAATTGCTGATTTCTCCCACGCCGATGATCGGGCCCGACGACAAGCGAAAAACCGACAACCATGCCGACATCGGGGGCTTTCAGCACGAACGCGACGAGTTCTTCGCTTGGCTGGCAGAATCCGGACTTGACCAGCAGAACTTCTATCTAGTCTGCGGCGACCGACACTGGCAGTACCACTCGATCCATCCCACCGGCATCGAGGAGTTCTCCAGCGGTGCCTTGGTCGATGCAAATGCACGCTTGGGACGTCTGCCTGGAGATCCACAATCAACCGACCCCGAGGGGCTCATCAAGGTGCCCTACACACAGCAGAACCCCTCAGGTGGGTTCCTGATGATTGAAGTGAATCCGGCCACAGAAGACGAAACTGCCACCCTCTCGTTCACGTTTCACGACGAGCACGGAGCGGTGCTGCACAAACATCGAAAACTGGCCGCAGATTAGACGAGTGGTCTCCCAGCTACTTTTTCCGCTTCAGGCGGTGTGGTGCATTTTGCACGGGTAGTTTCTGTGCCAATTCTGACTTTACCGAAGCGTACTTTGGATCGTCCGCCAGGTTGGTCCATTCATAGGGGTCGTCCACCTCGTCGTACAGTTCTTCATCACCGTTGGCGTATCGAATGTAGCGCCAGTCCTCAGTGCGAACGGTGTGGTTCTTGTACCCGTGCGTGGTAATCGCGGGCAGCTTCCAATCAGCCTGTGGATCCTCAAGCAGCTTGACAATGCTCTGCCCCTCAACGTGCTTGGGGGTGGGAATTCCTGCCAGATCGCACAGGGTGGGGTAAACGCACATCAGATCGACCGGCCGGGTACAGACGCCGCCCGGCTTTGTCACACCCGGAACGACCCAGATCAGCGGCATTCGGGTTGGTTCTTCCCATAGCGCAAACTTGCGCCAGTGCTCTTTCTCGCCGAATGACCAACCGTGATCGCCCCATAACACGACAATCGTGTTGTCCTTGTGAGGGCTCGCATCCAATGCATCGAGTAACCGGCCAATGTTCATGTCGGTGTAAGCACAAGTGGCCAGGTACGACTGAATGGCCGCCTTCCACCGCCCACTCTTGAGAAACTTAGCATGGTCCCCGTCGGGCTTGGCCATTTTAATGCCTGCAGGAGGCACATCTTCCAGATCGTCGTCTTGATGCGGTGGCAGTTGGATCGAATCCAACGGAAACTGGTCGTAGTACTTGCGCGGCACTGCAAACGGCAGATGCGGCTTGTAAAGTCCACAAGCAATGAAGAACGGCTCGTCGCGTTCGTCCTGCATTTGCTCGATGCAGAAGTCGACAGCATAGTAGTCCAGCAGATCGTCGTCACGGAGATCATGCAGCATGGGATCGTGGAAGCCATCCATTTTCTTCACGCCGGGTCCGTTCATGGATAGCCCGTCGCGTGACATGTACTCGCTCCACTCCTCAGGATGATACTGCATGGAATGGTAAATCTTTCCGGCACCCGCCACGTGATAGCCAGCTTTCAAGAATTGAGCACTCAGCCCCTCACCCGGCTGCTGATATCGCTTCCATCCGTCGCCGTTGTAGTAGCACCCACTCGTCCAAGGGCGACGCCCCCCCATCAATGCCACCCGCGATGGCTCGCAAGCCGGCACCGCACAGTACGAATGCGTAAACGAGACGCCCATCCGGGCCAGCCGATCGATGTTCGGCGTCTTCGCCTGAGGGTTGCGTCCCAAGTGTGTTACCCAATGATTCAGGTCGTCCACCGCAATGAACAGAACGTTGGGGCGTTCCTCTGCAGCTACCCTCGCACTCCCGCTGACAACGAGAAACGCGAGCAAGCAAATGATTCCAAACGCCCACTTCGCACAGCGCAGCACACTCTGGGATGCAAACACGTCGACCTGCCTTCGCAAAAAAGGAGTATTGAGCATGTAAGTCGCCGGCCCACCGAAAAAGTATTCCGTTGACCGCCGGGCTTGCTACATTGGTGGCACTTCCTTAACTCCAGAGTCTATCGCGCCGGAAGCCCCATGACGAACGTTCGAACCGCTCGCACCAGAGTTGCCACTCCGTATAAGTCTTGGAACGCGGAAGATCGCTACGACGCCATCGTCGTTGGCTCGGGCATTGGCGGATTGACCACGGCCGCGTTGCTGGCGAAACACGCAGGAAAACGGGTGCTCGTTCTCGAACGCCATTACACCCCGGGTGGATACACGCACGTGTTCAAACGGCCTGGGTTCGAATGGGACGTTGGTGTGCACTACATCGGCGACGTTCAACGTCAGAATTCTCCACTGCGCCGGATATTCGATGACCTGACCGACGGCACGCTCGAGTGGGAGCCAATGGACGAGGTGTACGACCGGATCGTGATTGGTGACCGGCAGTTCGATCTGGTAGCAGGGCGAGGCAAGTTTCGAGACCAGATTGTCGAGCAGTTCCCGCAAGAAGCCGCGGCGATCGACCGTTACCTCGGGTTAATTGACCAGTGTGCTAAAGGCAGCAAGAACTTCTTTGCATCCAAGGCTCTTCCCGGGTTGGTCTCCACCGTAGCCGGCCCTTTCATGCGAGGCCCCTTCCTGCGGCTCGCGCGAAGAACGACCCTCGACGTGCTCAGCGAGCTGACCTCCGACAAGATGCTTATCGGCGTACTCACGGGACAATGGGGTGACTACGGTCTTCCCCCAGCCCAAAGCAGTTTCGGAATGCACGCCATTCTGGTGCGGCACTATCTCGGCGGGGGCGCGTACCCCGTGGGCGGTGCGGCTGAAATCGCCGCCCGAATTGCCCCCACCATCGAAGCGACCGGAGGCACAATCCTTATCAATGCTGAAGTCGAAGAACTTATCGTTGAAAGAGGAACGGCCGTCGGAGTGCGGATGGCAGACGGTCGTGAAATTCGGGCAGACTCTGTGATTAGTGGCGTGGGCTACTTCAACACGTTCGAACGTCTCGTTCCCCAGGAAGTTGCACAAGCCCACAACTTGGAACACCGCCCCCCGGGGCTCGAATCCTCGGCAGCGCATGTCAATCTCTATGTAGGCTTGAACGCCAGCGATGAAGAGCTAAACCTTCCGACGACCAACTATTGGATTTATCCCTCGCCCGATCACGATGCGAATGTGGCAGCCTATCTGGCCGATTCAAACGCCCCCTTCCCCGTGGTGTATATCTCCTTTCCCTCCGCGAAGGACCCGACTTTTCCTGAACGTTACCCCGGCAAATCGACGATGCAGGCAATCAGCCTTGCCCCTTACGAATGGTTCAGTAAATGGGCCGATCAGCCTTGGCACAAACGGGGAGACGAGTACGAGGCCTTCAAATCCTCGCTTACCGAGCGGCTTCGTGAAAAGGTGATTGAATACCTACCCCAGGTCCGCAATCACATCGAGCATTGCGAGCTTTCAACGCCGATCTCTACCAGGCACTTTACGAACAACTTGCGAGGAGAACTCTATGGCTTGGCCCATACGCCAGAACGTTTCGAAGCACGATGCTTACGCCCCAAGACTCCCATCAAGAACCTTTTCTTGACCGGGCAGGACATAGCTTCGGCCGGTGTGGGTGGTGCTCTGTTCGGTGGCGTCCTGTGTGCATCGGCAATGATGAATAAAAACTTGCTCGGGGAGATTCTCTCGAAACCGCTTGAACGTAGAACACCTGTATAGGTTCAGTGTGCTGACTAGTTTTGCTCACCCCAAACTCGTGGCACGACGAAGCCTTCCGGCGGAGCATTCGGCGGAATATTTGGCTCGACTGCCTCATCGGCCAGCTTGACAAGCAGAGCCTTCAATCGGTCGAACACCTTGGGGTGCTGTCGGCTGACATCGTGTTTTTCGCCAGGATCCTGACGAATATTGAACAGCTCCCATCGCTCACGGCCGTGCACTGCGGTGGCATTCGCTCCCACTTGGCCGTTGTAGATCAGCTTCCAATCGCCCTCTCGCACGGCACCATGAAAGGGAGTGCTGTTGTGCAAAATAAACTCATGGGGTGTCGCAGCCTCTTCGGCTAGAGTCGCCCAAGCGTCTTTTCCGTCGAGCGGTTTGTCCTGTTCGAGCGTAGCCCCGGCCAGCTTCAACAACGTCGGATAAAGGTCAACTACATGCAGCGGTTCGTCGACCTGACTGCCAGCTTCGATCTTTCCCTTATACACGGCACCCGCCGGAACTCTCACCCCGCCTTCATACAACGATCCCTTCCCATCGCGCAGTAGTCCGTTGGACCCAAGCTTGCGGACACCTCCATTGTCTGAACAGAAGAAGATCAGTGTGTTGTCCGCTGGGTAATCATTCTCTTCCAGGGCCCCAGTAATCTGCCCGACCGCATCGTCCATGCAAGTGACCATGGCGGCATAAGTTTGCCGGTTCTTCTGCTTGAAGTCCCCGTAGCGATCGATATATTCCTCAGGAGCTTGCAGAGGGGTATGCGGTGCATTGAATGGAACGTAGAGAAACAGAGGTTTCGATGGGTTGTGGTTGGCAATGATCCCTGCAGCATGCTTCCCGATGAGATTGGTCGAGTAGCCCTGGTCGTAGTTCGCTTCATCGTTTAAGTGCCAATCGTGGCCCCCATCACGATCGTGCGTGAAATAGTCCAAGGCCCCATTGTAATGACCGTACTGAAGGTCGAATCCACGATGGGTCGGCAGATACGCCGGTTGGAAATGTCCGAGGTGCCACTTCCCTACAACGGCAGTCTCGTACCCAATTTCGTTTAAAGCTTGTGGCAAGGTCCTCTCGTCGAGCGGCAAACCGTGCGTTGCCCATGGACGTACGACTCCACACTGTAAACCCAACCGCATGGGATACCGTCCCGTCATCAGTGCGCCCCGAGTCGGCGAACAAACCGGCTGAGCATAGAACTGATTCAGCCGCACCCCGCGTTGTACCAGACGGTCGATGTTCGGCGTCGCAATCCGGCTGCCATTGTAGCCAACGTCCCCCCAGCCCAGATCGTCGGCCACCATCAACACGATATGGGGCTGTGCCGCATCACTCGAAGGCGAAATGACACCAACAAGTAAGACGACAAATAGCATCGCTCTGACAGACCGCAAGGTAAATCTCCCTCAATCCCGGCACTAAGGTTTTGGTTCAGCAGCGAGTTGCGTTTCCAGAATACTGCCCACCTTGCCCCGCTTCCAGTAAATCGACCTTCAGCCAGTTCCGTGCTGGCAAAATCCACCGCGAGTTCTGGCCCGCTGTCGCAGATGGTGCGGACTAGAACGCGCCGCATTCGGCCTATCCTGGGCTAGCAAACGCAGAACCGCGTTACCATAATTCAATGGTACTGCTCACCCCACAGGAACAGACTGCCATGCACGAACGCGCCCGCCCGATCGCCCTGGGTTTTGCTTTCTTTTTTCTCGCACTGAACATCCGGCAAATCAACGCCGCAGAAAATTGGCCACAGTTTCGTGGCCCCAACGCGAACAGTGTAGTCGAAGGGATCGACTTCCCTATCGATTGGGATGCC